TCATTTTGGGCCTTGCACCCCAAATTCAACCTGAATTTCAGGGGTCAGCCATCTGCTAGCTGTGACTAAAGGACTTAGTTCTGCACATGGCTGTGCACTTTGTCTTGGGAAAGCAGAAATATAGTCTGAAAGAGGCCCTTCAAATTATTTTTATTCTGTCTTTTCCTCATTCCACTCTGCAAATTCTTTCTTTTATCTGTTTTCTTTTTCCCATTCAGTCTCTTGCGCCCCCATATTATTCTTCATCTGCCCTTCTGTTCCTGTTCCTGCCCTAAGTTGGATTTCTTCTTTTATTGTTTTTCCTTCTTTATGTTCTTTTCTTCTGCCATTTTACCTCACTCAAGGGTCAATAGTTTCAAAGGAAAGTGAGCCCCTGTTACTGTTAAGTTGTTATATTCTTGTCCTTATTCTTGCACTCTGTCTTTCCCTCTTGTCTTCAGCAGTTTGCTAAAGTTTGTGTGGTTATCCTGTGTCCTCTGGCTTCACTTGAAACTTTCTCCAATTCTTTTATCTATCTACTCCTCTCATCCTAACTCTATCTAAGCCCCCATCCCAAAGGGTAAAGATGCTATATTGAAGAGTTTATTCACTGTAAACATATTTTGGGCTGCTCCTTAATTTTGATTTAATTCACATAGTTTAAAGGATGAATGACTACCACAAATGGTCAATTTGTAAGTTGTGCTTGATCCTATTGTGTTGCTGATTGTATCGATTGGGCTAAAGGGTTGTGATTGATTTAATGAGTTGTTCTTTCTGATACTATGAAAATGAGAATTTCTATGAATCATTGGAGATGCAAAAGCTAAACCACAACTATATCAGGAAGATTTAAGTAATAACCCAGGAATTAAACCAAGAACAACCCAACAACAAAAATAAAAATGAGGAAACACTTAAGTAAGACACAAAGACAGACATTCAGTTCACTAATGGCAAACTCTAGGGCAAATGAGATTGAATTACATATCTTTATCAATTTCAGAAGTATAGCTGTTTTGACTATATTGCTTTTGCCTTCCAGGGACAGAAGATATCTTTCCATTTTATGATATCCTCTTCAATTTTCCTTTTTAGGTAGTGTAGTTTACATTGTAAAGGTCTTTTACTTCCTTAGGTTATTCCTAAGTATTTAATTTTTCTTGTTGCTATTGTGTACAGTATTTTTTCCTAATTTCTTTCTCAATGGGTTCATTATTATTGTGCATGAATACTGTTGATTTTGTACCCTGATGCGTTACTGCATTTGGTTATTCATTGTAAGAGCCTTTTGGTAGACTTTTTGTTATCTTATAGGTAGAGGATCATGTCATTTTCAAACAATGATAATTTGACTTCTTGCTTTCCTGTATATCCCCTTATGTCTTTTACTTGACTAACTGCTCTTGCTAATGTTTTGAGTACTGTGTTGAACAGGAGCGGTGATAGTGGACATCATTGTCTTGTTTCTGATTGTAGAGGGAAAGCTTTCAGCTTTTCCCTATTTAATATGAAGTTTAGAGTAGGTTTGTCATAAATGGGTTTTCTCAGGTTGAGATGAGGTTCTTCTATGCTTATTATTTTTAGTATTTTTTATCATTAATATATGTTGGAATTTGTTAAAGGATTTTTCTGCACCTATGGAGTTGATCGTGTAATTTTTGTCCTTGCTTCTGCTTATGTGATGTATTATATTTATTGCTTTGTTTTGCATCCTTAGGATGCAGCCTACTTGGTTATGATGTGTAATATTTTTTATGATTATTTGCATTGTGTTTGCCAGTCAGTATCTTGTGGATTTTTGTATCTATATTCATTAAAGGGATTGGTTTATAGTTATCCCTTTTGGTTGGATCCTTGTGTGATTTTGGAATCAGGGCGATAGTGCCTTCCAGGAATGACTTTGGTAGCACTCCATCTCTTTCAGTTTCATGGAAAACCTTGAGGAGTATTGATCTTAGAAACTTCCCTGACATTTTTGCAGATTTCAGTAATGAACCCTGACCTGGGCCTTTTTTAGCTGGTAGGTTATTTATGACTACTTCAGTTTGCTATTGTGCCGGAATGACTTGGCTTTCTGGAAATAAGAGAAATAAAGGACAAGTATTTGAAAAATCGTAAAAAAAAATACTGGGCTGAAATTCAGACTGATTATATTTCCCATGGCTCGCATTAATCTCAGGATTAATGGAATTAATGGGTTGAGCAAGTAAATTTTGTCCCCTTAAAAGGAGCAAGCACACAATGACATTCTGAGGTACCAACCAAAGATAAACCCCAGACACCAAAACTATTCCAATGTGTGGACATTTCTGAACAACACAAGTCATCATAAATATGACATATGGTACCCCTCAAAGTATAATTGCGGATGAATAAACAACACATATGCCTTTTAAGATTAAATGAATATTGTCTGACATACACTACACTAGAGTTGTTTTTCATTTGGATTAAAACATTGGTTAAAATTACTTCTTGTTGATTCTTGGAATAACTAGAATCCATTTGTCTCCATTGGGATCACTGTTTTTTACAGAAACCCTTGGCTGAAAGAGAGCACATCCCACTTAAGATAAATTGTCCAGTCAGTCAGAATAAAAACAGAAACAAAGAAATGAGATTTTTAGGGTACTGATGACTATTTTTCCAAGATACAATAAAGTTATAAATTGATATATAGTACCTATATTTAGCTATCCAGTCAAACAGTATAGGTGTCTAGGGAGACATTTATAGCTACACCAAGTGTCAACTTTCAAGAAGATCATTTCATTTTAACTCTGATTGAAATTAAATAAGATAAACAAAATGTTGAAACCCTTAGCAGCTACTCGATAAAACATTCAAGCTTAGAGAGTATCATTTTGATGACATTGACAGTTCAAAGGTAACAGAAATATTGGCAGTTCCTGATATATGTGAATGTATTATATGTATGCATATTATGTTTATAGTATGTACAATACACACACATATGAGAGACAGGGTTGGGGTGGCTCCAGTAGTTTTTTAAAAAGTAAAATTGTTCCAGTTTAGATACACATTCCTAACTATAAGTGCTCAGATTTTCAAATGCAAGTTGTGACATATTCATCTGATCTTGTGTTACAGGGTATTAATCTTCTTTTGCTGTGCTTGATACTGACTTGCCTCATTGCTTTGTTATCTTACCTTTCTGCTCATTTGGAATAGCGACTTTATGCTTCTATTATGCTCTGACATTCTCAATGGACTATAACTACTTAAAGACACTTTTAAATAGAAGCCGTTTTAAAATTCCAGTGTTTTAATACAATAGACTGAACTTCTGAGAAGACCATGCTAAATAAACATTTTCCATTGATTACAATCATGAAACACTTTAAAAAGACATTAAAAGAAGACAGCTATTTATGACTTTTCTTTTGTAATTTGTTTTCTCCTTTTTAGCTACTCAGATTAAACTTGAAGCCATATCCTTAAACCATTTACATTTCATTTTGCCAATTGTTAGTGAATCCTTTTTGGTTTCTGATCATGTTTCTAGACTATTTTCATTTGGCTCAGAGCCACCACTGCCAGCTAAAACAGAACAAATAAATCTAAGTTTATCTCTACTTATTACTGTCAATGGAATTATCCAGTTCTCCAGTTTTGAAATCTGAGTCATTTATAATGTTTTCTTCTCTGCTTTCTTCTTCCTTGATCAAATAAACCACCAGAGACCTATTATTTTTTTTTTGTCTCAGGAGTCTGATTCAACCATTCTTATCTACTGAGCAGATCCTCATGACCTGTTAAAATAGCAGCCTCTGGATTGGCCTCTTGTGTTCCACTTTCTCCCCAGCTACTCTACACTCTGTTACCAGAAGAAGCTCCCACAAGTACAATTCTAGCCATAAGAACCCCCATATAAAATTAGCACCAGGATCAAATGTGAATTTTCAGCCTGTTTTTGAAGTCTATCTAGCAATTATGTACTCCTTCTATCTTCCTCAACAACTCACCATCTTTCCATGACTCTTCCCTTTCTCTGTCTCCCAGTAAAGTTTCCAGGCCCATTTCTAATTTTCACATCTTAAGTTTCTTCTTCTTTGTTGTTTTTTGTTTGTTTGCTTGTTTGTTTGTTAACAAAAGGCACATCTCACAAACTTTTTTTTTTATTTTTGTACTGGTGACCGAACTCAGGACCTTGGGCTTTTGAGGTAGGTGGGGTGCTTCTGAGTGAAATCGCCAGCCCCACAAACTTTTTCTCATTGAGTTTATTGGTACATTTTAGGTATACAGTACAGTTACATGAATCATTGGTATCTTGTACATTTACATGACAGGTCTTGGTTCTCCTTTTTCCACCTTGTCCCTGTCTTCCCTTCACCCCCACATCCCTTCCCTATTTACAAATTCTTTATTTCCATTTTTTCATTTTCTCATAATTTTTTCTTTTCCCTTATTTCCTTTCCCCTACCCTCCCCACTTCCCCTACACATTTAGCCTTTTTCTTCCTATTTCAAATTGTCAATTATATTATTAGGATATTATGTACCATTATAGTTTTTCGCACCAGAGAAACTATTCAGTTCTCAAGCCATACTTTACTTTCTGCCTTCAGTGTGATTTACTACTTCCAAAAACATTTTTCACAAATGCCATTCCTTTGAATTGGGATACTCTCTGCCCACATCACTGTCTATTTATACACTATATACCATCTGCTTCTAAAGGTGTGATCGAGATCTTTTAGAATGCTTTGTAAAATTACATCTGATTGCTTACTCCTCCCATTCAGCATCTTGTAAGCATATATAGTTCATTTGTATTTTCAGTTGTTGATCCACATGTAATCTTTAGGCTGTTTCCTGTGTTGATTTCCTGTTACTTCTAGTGATGGTATAAACATGCTGAGCTCAAGGACTCAACCTGATTTCTTTACTCTTCCTGCTGTTCATAGTATTAGACTCTACACAGGAAGTGTTCAATGCATGTTAGCTGACTTTTGGTAATTATTTCATAGTTATAACTAGTGATAAATTCATACTCACTTTTACAGTGGTCAGTCAGGGTGTTCACATTGGACTCGATGCAGGCTTTGTCTACGATCTTTATTCAGACATGCAATAATCAGGAAGAGGAGATTGTAGTACTAGCCACACACTTCATTCTGCATTTTTATTCCTGTTGACATCAGTACATATTATAGTGAGCACCTCAAGTTTATCCAGAAATATGCTAAGTGCTCCAGTCCACTTATTCTCAAATTCCTGCATATAGCAGAGTCCCTTAGAAGGCTCAGATCATTGAACCCACTTCATAGTTTCTGACTTAGTAGATCTTAGATAGGATCCAAAATTTTGCATATCTAACAAATTCCCAGGTGATGTTGATGCTTCTGGTCCAGAAATCACACTTTGAGTAGTGATCAAAGGGGATATAGCATGGTCTGAGATGACATGAACTCTCATTTCAAGGGGTGTAAAGTGGGTTTGCAGAGATAATGCAAATCTAGGAAATATTTAACAACAGAAAATATAATGTTTTAGAATTCACTCATTAATTCATTCAATACTAAATGAATATTATGTGCCCATTATCATAATAATATTATATCAGTGAACACAGTAGACTAATACTTGTTCACATGGAGAAATCCTAATGGGGGGAAAGAAAAAATAAATATAATACATAAAATGCAAGATAGTAATAAGTGCTATGGAGGAAAAGCAACAAGAGGGAATAAGAAATTTTACAAAGATTGAATTAGCAAGAGGGGTCAGAGAAGGATTCTCAGTTTCATCATTTAACAAATACTAGTTTAGTGATTACTGTGTACTAGACATGGTTAGAGATGATGGTGACAGCCATGAGTAACACAAAGAATAAACTACCCTCCTAGAATTTGGCCACCAGGAAACCTAAAGTTTTGGTGTTAATTCTCACAAACTCATGTTTTCACTGTATGGGTTTTTTTTTCATGTTTTAACTATAAATGTGTACTTCCGTGCTCTGAGCCTTGGTTTCCCTATATGCTAAATTGAGCAGTCAAACAAACTTACACCTGAAGTCCTTTGCATTTCTAAGTGCTACCAGACAGTATGCTTCAGCCAATCAGAAATATATAAGTAGATTTGAAGAACACTTTGGAGAGGAAGAGAAACTTAAATAATTTTCATAGGCATAGCAGAGCTGTGAGGCGTGTGAGATGGGAAGATAATTTCATAAGAGAAACATGTTAGCACAAGATCGTAATGGGATCATTAATAATGTGAAATAGGAAGAAAAGGGCTAAAGGTGTAGGGAAAGTTGGAAGTGTAGGGGAAAGGTAATAAGGGAAAAGAAAAAAATAGGAGAAAATGAAAAAATGGAAATAAAGTGCTTTTAAATGGGGAGGGAGGAGGGGGTGAAGGGAGAGCAGGGCCAAGGGGAAAAAATGAGAACCAAGACCTGTCATGTAAAGGTACAAGATCTCAGTGATGAATGTAACTGTACTGTATGCCTAGAAGGTACCAATAATCTCAATAAAAAGAAAAACATAAGTCAGGAACATGCCTTTAGACCCAGCTACTTAGAAAGCTAACTCACATGAACCATTTGAGACCAGGGGTTTGAAACTATCTTGGACAGCACAGTAAGGGCTATCTCAAAAATAAATAAATAAATACAAAATAAAGCATAGAAGCAAGAGTGAGCATCCCATGTTCAAAGAAGAACCCAGGAGATCAAAATGTTCTCATTGTATTGTAGCAGAGAGAAAAATGATAGAAGGTAATTAGGTGTTCAGTGAAGGTGATGTGGGGGCTGATTTTACAGTCTTTGATGGGAACTCACTCAAGGTTTTGATCAAGTAATGATGTGATTATACAACCAAAGTGATGTTTTAAGTGTAACCTAGCAATCACAATTAAATCTCAAGGCTCATAATTTTTTCTGTAATATTTTATTTGAACACTAAAGGTTAAAGTCTTACTTTGTTATAAGTTACTGTTTGATTTTAACATCATCATCAAACTAATTCTCAGGTCTTTTCCAAGCAACTAAAAGCCAATGATATTATTACATAAATTTCCCTAACAGTACCACCACATGCTTGAACCATTAACATGTTAGAATTTAATTTTAGATTTTTGAAATTCTATCAGAAAAATATTTATAAGTGTACATTTCTATGTTATGTGGTATCCCATGAAATAACTGGTTGAATATTGCATTTATCTTCAGCCACATATGCAATTTAAATGGCATTCATTTCATGCGGTGCATATATTTCTAAGACCAAGCTTTTTCCATTTGCTTGGGATAACACACATTTCTTGGAAATTATCCTATTGTTTTTTATTATAGTTAGTTGAGGAATATCTGTGTCTATTGTATTTTTGTTGCTCCCAAAGCTTAAAGTACAATCTGCCTTGTAAAAGAAGTTACTCTGAAAGATGGCAATGACAAAGGTTTGCTGTCCAAAGAGTGGGTCTTATGTAAGGCAAAAATGAAGGAGTGCATCTTGGTATTTGTTATGTAAGTTTCACCTTAGCTTTCAGTCAATTCATAGTTTCTCAGAGGCAAAATGGTGAACTTAACAACTCATGACAGACCAAAACCTCAAAACTCATTGTTTAATGTCAGTTTGAATGTAAGTTATATATGACCTGCAAAATATTTAACTGTCACCAGAATAAAATAAACATGATAATCATATCCATACTAAGGTGGAAAACTACTATTTTCTCTCTTATTTCCCAAATTCTGGATAATATTTCTAGGTGATTTATTTAGAAAGTGTCAACTGTATTCAGGGTCATTTTGAACCATGAGGCATACCCAGAGATATCTCTAAGCACCATTTCTTGAAAAGCAGCTCTAAGAGCTAAAATATCAGAGAACTTTGGAATTATAGCATTAAAAAACTGCCTGGGCCACAAGGGTGATAGTTTTCTCTTCTACATATGTATGATTTTTTTCTTTGCCTTTTTAATAAACAGGGGATGGAGAATTGTCATGGGAACATTCTGATGCTGACATCTTCCGGCAACCTGCCAACAGAGAAGCAGTAAGTGTCAATAGCTCAAGTACTGCAGTTCAACAACTCCATAGTATCAGGCATAGCTTTCTTTTGCCCATGACCAGTATCCTGGCAAATCAAAAAAGGGGCCCATATCTAACACTATTTTTCTTCCTCTTCATTGGAAATTTGAATGACATCACCAACCTATAAGCACTTGAGAGCACTTTATAATTGGTAATCAGGAGCAGGTCATGAAAATAAAGAAACCAGAGCCCTTCATCTAGATCATAATTTGCTATTCTTTTGGGATGACTTGCCAAATTGTAAGTCTTCTGGTAGAAAGGCATGTCACTACACCTCTCCTCAAAAGTAAGGATCTTCTGTATAAAGACCTTCTGCTACTTTTGTAAACTAGTCCACTCCATCCTTTTGTGAGATTTGGTGGGGATTTTGGGTATAAACCTTCTCATAAGCCTTAAGGCCTTTTGTCATAGAATTAAAAGAAAAGAAAGATAGCAGGCCACATACTTCTCCCTTCACCCTATGATATTTCATTTATGTTTTCAGTGCTATCAAAATAAGCCTCACAAGTAGGTATCTCTATACACTAGAAGTATCTTTTGTTCTTTTGTATTCTGAAGTAAACAGTAAAATAGAACCCCTCTTACAAAATGTATAAGAAGATTTACACATCAAACTTCTAAAATTCTAAAAATATTTCAGTTAAAATAATGAATCAGATTAAGGGACTTATAAAAGTGTACAAAATGTACAAAAGTGTTAGTTGCACATAAATAGGTGTTTGTTACATCCTTGTACAAAAATTATACTGGGACTTTTATTATAGCATTACCAGCAAGGTAATTGTTTTCATAAGAATAAAAAACAAAAACAAAGCTGGGGATTTAGCTCAGTGGTGCCACTGTCTGCATCACAAGTACAAGATACTGAGTTCAATCCCCGGTACAAACAAACAAACACAAAACAAATTAAGATAACCTAATTAACTATTAAAAGATGCTTGTTTAAATACACCCAACCTATGGGACACTGTGTGTTTGTTATAAAGAATTATGTATATCTAAATGCAGCAAAGTGGTAAAAATTCCAAGGCATATTATGTAGCCAAACAAGACGCTTTCTATAAAAATTGTGTGTATGCAATAAACGCATTTTAAAAGATCTTGAAGGTCACACATAAACATGCTAAGAGTGGTAACTTTAGAGGGATAGAAGTGGGCAGAAGGAAAAGTAGACTGACCTTTTATTTTGTCTTCCATACTATTTGATGTCGTCCATAAGCATGAATTTAATTTGTAATAAGTAAAATTTAAATGATTTTTTAAAACTTTTGGAATTTGTTCTCAGCTAGCATTGTAGTTAAGACAGCAACCTAAAAAGTTAGGCAGCAAGCCTAAGGATGGTGAAGGCTGAAGAAGTGGTTCATAGGTGTGCAATTCTGCGTATATATAAATATGACCATGTTGCTTTGGCCAGGCTTCCTGGTCATCACTTGGGCCATTTCTAATTTATGTTCCTCCAGCTTGCCCGATACCCACCACTGAAGTCTCAGCTCTCAGATGAGATGCATTCTATTTGCTCTATTCTCTAGGGCATTGTTTTTGGGCCTGTTTCTGAATGAATGTAGAAGGATTGCAGGTTGAATACAAAATAGTACTCTGGACATTTAAAAAAAAAAAAAAAGATTCTCCCAGGGAGGGTAGGATTCCTAGTTGCTAGTTAATGTAGATTGATCCTGAGGAATGATTTTGTCCATGTAGCTCTATCTGCTTTATAGTGAGATTTCTTACAGATCCTACCAGGAAATGCTGTCACTTTCAGTTTTCTGTGCTGTGAGTTTCCTCTTTATCTCAGCTCCAAGTTTTTGTTGTAATTAGAAGTTGAGAGAGGCTAAGTATAATTGGCAATCACATGTCATTCCAAAGCAAATTTAAGGCTCAGTCATTGTGAGCTATTAGGCCCCTACAGTAAGCAAACTGGCCTCCTCAGCAATCTTGCTGGTAATGACACTAATTAGTCTTTCTTCTTTACTTCACTTCATTCTGTCATTAACATCATCTCTTGTTTTTTTAGCTTTATTGTACTTCCTAAACTGCTAGTGATAGGAAAAGGCTTCATGCAGCACATTTTGTAGCAAAAGCGATAAGATACAAAGTCCAGGACTTTGGAATTGATTTTCAAAAATGTTCAAGAACTATCTTTAGAAACAAAACATCTAAGACTGGGAGATCAAAATTGACAGATAGTTCCTCTTTATTTTAAGTAAATATTTTCTTTTATTCTGAAAGGATAGATATTGTGACATATGATTCCAACAATACATAGCAACTGTAGTGATGGAAAAGTAGGTACCTGGACTATACTAGGCACCTAATAAATGTCGAATGAATGGGTGTGGAAAGTAGAGTAAAATATTTAAGGGGGAGTGAGTGGAGGGGGTTTTCACATATTTTAATGCACAGAAGTTTTTCTCAGGGAGAAATTCTTCAAATTTACTTTTTGCCCTTGACCTGTTAAAAATAAGAAGATACTAGAATTCCTCCTGAATATTCTTTGCAGGCCCAACATCTTGCATGAAAGAAAAAATAGTATCACTAAAAACACATTTCCTATCTAGGAGACTTTCTTATTTACAAGGAACTATCAAAACTTCAGTTCTATAAAAACGTAGCTGATTGGTTTATTTTGCCAAATGGGCAGGAAAATATCAGTTTAGCAAGTTTTATGAAGTTGAATAAAAAGATGAATGGTTTTTGATTTCCAGGTCATAATTGCACATGAATTGATCCTTGTACCATTGGAAGGAGCATGTACTGTGGGAATATGTACAATATGTAGGAAGGAAGTATAAGCACAGAGTGGAAAGCCAAAACCTGAAAGCAAGCATAATTTCATTTTGAACAACAGCCAGTCTCTATGTTTTGCCCCCTAAAAAATTAGAGTGGTGCCTCGGTTCACGAACTTAATTATTTTCATGATTCCAGTCGCAAACCAAATTGGATGAGAACTGAATCAAATTTCCCCATAAGGTTAACATTGAATCTAACCATTTAATCAGATTTGGTTCTTGTCCAATTCAATTTGTGACCAGAATTGTGGAAAGAATTAAGTTTTTGAACTGAAATACCACTGTAAATTGAAGTTTGCCATTTGAAAAGTGAAAGAATTAGGCGAAGAAATAACATGAAATGATAAAAAATCCATATAGTTTTCACATTATCAGAACAAAGACTTGGGAAGGAAACTGGCCTAAGTGTCCTCTAGCCAGATACTATTCTAAGTTACTAGTGACTAACACAAAATGTGTTCATGAATGTGTGGATTAAAATACATTCTGAAGACTTTTAAAATTGAACTTTAAGTAAAAAAAAATAGTCTCCCACAAATAAAAGACCAAGTCAAATAATGGACAATTGAAATGAATACTTCTCAGAAGAAAAAGTACAAATGGCCAATAAATACATGAAAAAAATGTTCAGTATCACTGGCCATAAGAGAAATGCAAGTTAAAACATTGATACTATCTTAGCCCAGAAAGAATGGATATCATCGAAAAATCAAATGATGACACATGCTTGAGAGGATGTGGGAAAAAAAGGGACCCTTCTATATTGTTGGTGGAAATGTAAACTAGTACAATCACTGTGGAGATGCCTCATAAAACTAAAAATAGAAATTAGTTTTCACCCACCTATTTGGCTTTTAGGAATTGTCCCAAAAGTGTTAAAGTCCTCATGTTATCAGGATACATGCATACCAATAGCTGTTGGATGCAGTTGTAAACAATGAGGCCAAAGAACTTTTAACCATATATTTAGGGAACACTCTTCATTTTTAATCATTTTTTTAAGACAGGGTCTCGCTATGTACTTCAAGCTGGTCTTGAACTCATTATGTAGCCAGGGTGGCCTTGAATTCACAGAGATCCTCCTGCCTTAGCCTCCCAAGTGCTGGGACTACAGGCATGCGCCACCACACCCGGCGTTCTCTTCCTTCTTAAATCATCTTCCACTCCCCTTCCTCCCCACTCCCATTCACTTAACCATCTCCAAAAATGGAAACCTTCGTGGTCATCTAGAAAAGTTACCTTTCCTCCTTGGCTTCTCTTTCTCTGTCTGTCAAACAAAAGACTGAAACAAGGTAAGGTTTTGGAGGCTGACTACTCTACAATAAGTCCTTATCAAAATTCCTGGGGCCTTTATTTTTTTTGCCTTGAATCATTTTCCTACCATACCAGTCTCTGGTACTGAAGAATATCTTTTCATTTTGCACCCCCCCCATCATAAATCAGAGAATTTCTTGAACTTGCAACTTACCCTGGGTCAGCAGCCTTTCCTTTCTAATTCCATCCTTGACAAACTCCTTTCTTTTAGCATCAGTGTGACACCCACCAGGCAAATTATCTTTTCTGTGCTCCTTCGGCAAAATTTTGCCAAACTCCACAAAGGTCAGAACAATCTGTAATGGCCTTTGTGGAATGTGAGTGATTATGACAGAAAAAGACATATGAGCCATTCTGGGAGAAGAAATATTTGCTCCGAGGACCTTGTCTGTGCGAATGATAACAATTGATGCAGGTTCTTATTTGTGTGAATTTTTATAGCAATGCACCAGGATAGGCTCTTCTTAGATACACAGAATAATGTGCTCTTTCAAAATGCTAACAAAGGTCCTCTTACTTTCCAGCTCCTGTTTGTTCTTCCTTCCTCCCACCCGGAGAGCAATATTAGTTCCAAAAGCTAAATTAGCAACATGTGTAGCTGTAACGTTAGTAAATGTTTTATGGGGTAGGGAGGTCAGAGGAACCTATAACTATCTTCCCAAGGCTCCTTACTACTTCTTATCACTGAATATAGGGATCTTCCTTTCTAATTGCTTGTGAAAGATTTCTTAATGCTTTGCCTCTCCTTCATCCTCAACAATTGCCCCTAAAATAGTTAGTGTTATTTGGCCATAAGCCTTAAAGTTCCATTCTTGATTTATCCTGTGCTCTTTTTCCCACACCTTACTTCTGTGTTGGGGAGAGGGGAAGTTAGCAAAACAGCGAGGCCATTGTGTGTGTGAATATTTTTTTCTTTTATTGAGTTTATTGGTACATTTTAGGGTTACAGTACAATTGCATTCATTATTGGGATCTTGCACCTTTACATGACAGGTCTTGGTTCTCATTTTTCCCCCTGTCCCTGCCTTCCTTTCACCCCCTCCTCCCCTCCCCATTTACAAACATTTTATTTCCGTTTTTTCATCTTCTCCTATTTTTTTTTAGTTTCCCTTATCACCTTTCCCCTACCCTTCCCACTTTCCCTACACCTTTAGCCATTTTCTTCATATTTCACATGGTCAATTACCTCATTAGGATCTTATGTACTATTATAGTTTTTCACACCAGAGAAACTATTCGGTATTTACACTTATGTGACTTATTTATTTCACTTAGGAGTATATGCTCCATATGTATCCATTTTCCTATGAATGAATCTAATTTCTCATTATTTATGGCTGAGTAGTATTCCATTTTATAGAAAAACCACATCTTCTTTATCCAGTTTCCAACTGATGGGCAAATGGGCTGTTTACAAGTTTTAGCTATTACAAACTGTGCCGCTGTAAACATAGGTGTGCATATATCACTGTGGTATCCTCTAGTCCCAGCTCCCTGAGGTATCTCCATATTGACTTCCATAGTGGTTGCACCAGTCTGCACTCCCACCAACAATGGAGAAGGGTTCCTTTCTCCCCGCAACCCCGTCAACATTTGTTTTTGGTTGATTTCTTGATAGCAGCCATTCTTTATGGGGTGAGGTGGAATCTCAGTGTTGTTTTCATCTGCATCTCTCGAAGGACCAGGATGTGGAACATTTTTTTGTATATTTACTTGATGCTTTTACTTCTTTGCCTGAGAAATGTCCGTTCATTTCAGATGCCCATTTTTGAATTGGGTCTTTATATTTGGGGAAGCTGATTGTTTTGAGTTCTTTATATATTGAATCTTTGAAAGAAAAATTATTGGATGTTGTTGTTTCATTCATTCAATCAGTATTTGATGAGCACCTTGTAGTACAATGATGGTGAACTCTTTAGAGCTTTCAGTGATAACAAACAGCCCACTGCAGCGTGTGTGCCAGAGATTTGCCGCCACTGCTCTGGATGCTCAAAACTGTTCTAGAAACTGAAGGTATAGGAGTGAACACCACAAAGTCCTTGACTCTGTGGAGCTTACATTCTAATAAATGTCATGTACTGTTTATAAAATGTCCATCTATAAAAATGTGTTGCTGAATGATGTCATTTCACTTCCTGTGTTTACTGTCCCTATATAACTTATTGAAACTACACTTGACTCCCATCTTTTCCTCTTGTCTAGTTCATTTTACACATTATCAGTGCTCATTGCTTTGAAACATAATTCACATTAAATTACTTCTCTAGGGCCGGGGATTTAGCTCAGAGATTCTGCCTCCTGCCTCACAAGCACAAGGACCCGTGTTCAATCCCCAATACCAAAATATATATATAGATAGATAGATAGATGATAGATAGATAGATAAATTATTTTTCTACTTCAAAAAAATCCCTTAAAAAGCTTCCACACCCCCACCTCTGTCACTTATCAAATAAAGTTTTCATCCCTTAGATTGACATTTAAAGTCCTCCATGATCTGGCTCCAGCCTCCTTTGGAATGTTATCCTTCAACTGCTCCCTTTTGGACACTATGTTCAATGCTACACCTTCTGAACTTGAGAACCTCTGCCTAGAATATTCCCCACAAACGAGAGAGAGAGAGAGAGAGAGAGAGAGAGAGAGAGAGAGAGAGAGAGACGTCATCTATCCATTCTTCATGGACCAGGTCACAAAATCCTCCCTGACTAGCAACTCTCTTTCTCCTTCTAATGTGTATAGCACTTTAGACTTCTCCTGTGGCCTCTGTCACCATTTGCCTTGTGTTGTAGACTACTATTTTAACTCTACAAAACTTTGAGTCTCAAGAGCAGGAAGGACACATTATCCCTTTTGCTTGTTTTCTCCCTCAGAAGTTTGTCTTTGGATCTAGTCTGTTTTTACGCAGTCATATCCATGCTTCTTTTGTTTTAATTGACATGTAGCTAAGGTCAGAGTTCAACACTACAAATCAAACTTATCAAATTGTTTCTAATGTATGTATCTCAATCTCTGCAATCACATTAGTGGATTACTTTTGGACCAAATTTGTTCTTATCATTTTATAGAGGCACTCTTATCACCGCTCCCACTATGATCCTCCACCAAGCCGACAGGCTGGAGTGTTGCCCCGCTTTCCTGGGGCCAGAAGTCACCGGGGAGCTCTTATGGACTCTCAGCAAGCATCGGGAACCATTGTGCAGATTGTCATCAATAATAAACACAAGCATGGACAAGGTAAGTGATATCCTCATTTTGTACTGTGTCTATATCAGAGTCCAGGCATCCCTGTTCTTCTGAGGGCTGGAACTGAGAAAGAACCCTTTCTCCAATGAATAGCACAACATTCACATGATCACTCACTAGCAAGTCTACAAAGTGGAAATTTTTTTTGAGTCTTTAGCAAGTAGATCACCAAGCATTCAAGGGTAATTGGTGCCAAACACTTCAAAAGTTCTTATCCAAGCCTTAGAAATAGCCTTTCTCATACCCCAGTGCACCCCAGATTCTCCTGGGGCTCCTTGTTAAATATTCCTGGCCCTGTACTCAGAGATTCTGGTTCAGTGTTTAGCATATGAGGAGATTGTCCTGAAAAAAATGAGTAATTGAGCAAGAATTACAGAAACCACCTGGCTGAGCCCCAGGATGACTGATCACGTTAGCTCAAACCTGCAGCCCACTCAGCAATCAACTGACTACAGCAACTATCCACACATATCAATGGACCCTGTTTTCTCCCACATGCGACTCTCTGGCCTCCACCAGCCCACCCCCAGTAGCAGAGCTGGGAGGAAACTTTTAGTAAAACAATTGACTGGTTCTTACTTTTTAGTGATCCTGTCAACTAGCTCTTTTGGAGCAAGAGCTGAGCTAGATACTTTTTGTGAATCCACAAGCATGTTTTGTTACCTTTAAAGGGAAAACAAACTAAAGTCAGTTCTCTGAATGGGTTAAAAGTAATAAATTATTAAACCAAATGATTGAATAACACAGGTGAAAAACAATCCACTACAAAGAACTCCTACTATAAATCTCAAAGCTAGTTAAGCCAAAGCTAGTTGATCACATCTGTTGCTAGTTAGATGTGAATTTTAGATTACAGATGAAAAATTAGGTTGCTTTTGAACCTACAGAGTTATACAGTCTAGATAAAATTATTAATAAAAAGATAAAATTCTTAATAAATGGTGGTATATTAAAAGAATTGGAAATGTTTACTATTTTTAAGTCCCACGGTATTCTGATACAAGTTTATGAAAGGAGTTAGATAAGGATGCTGTTGATCTTCAATCCTAAATTTTTCTGCAAAGATTCCATTTCCTCTGAAAATATTTCAGAACCTTTCTAAAAATGTGTGGCAATGGCCTTTTTATATGTAAACCACATAATGTCTATAAGGTCTCTTTATTTTCAAGGTGGAGGCTCATTTCTTGATTGTCTCTGTGTCCTACAAAAGCCCCAGCTGGTTTACATTTATTCGTCTGCCCCCATCAATTTGGATGCAGCAGTTTCTTCTCTGACCTTTCTATTATAGTTCACTAGAGAATCATTTATCTCCACCCCCAGCTCCCAACTCCCCAGCTGAAAGATCCAAACTCATCTGAGTATTTGTTGCTGGGGAGAAGGCAATATTTCCCTCTAGATAACTTAGCTCACTGTATTCTGCTGCAGAGTGTGTACTCTCACCTAATGTGGACTGTTCCCTCAACCCAAATGTTTAGGAGACAGGGTGCCTAGCTATTTTATACCGGGAGTCCTACCTGCACTGCTACTCAGCATAGTTCACACTTCTCCCTAGCTCTTTTGCTAATGATGCTATCTTCTCAGATATACCTCTTTGGTTCCTTATTAGAGTCAAAGAGGAGAAGTGACAGTACTCTACCATCTTGTTTGATCCTATCCATAGCCTGCACCTCATAGTTTAGGTATTAAGTCTCTATTCTGACTCACTGGAAGGTTGGGACCCTCTCTCATTTAGGTTACTGGAAATCTTTACACAAACTGACCTGTTACAGCGCCCAGTGCTCTTGCAGCTTTTGCAAAGGACAGTAAAAGGCCAACATCATTCATATTTCTTAATATGACCCAGTGGACTTGATGAGAAAGAAATAGCCAGTGATTCATCCTGAGCCTCTTGTCTGGCCGCCAAATCAGTCAATTCCTAGAAACGCCCCAAGTGGGGCTATTTCTGCCCCTAGTCCCACCCAAAGTAATACAACCCACCCTAGAGATCTTGTTGATTAGGATGCCGACAGGTCTCCCTGGGTGTGATGAAGCGATGAGAATAATGAAAAACACACCCAGACTCAGTCATGGCTTACACTCTCCAAAAGCATGAGAACTCCTTCTCAGACCTCTCCATTCACAGCCCTTTGAATTTTACATCCTGGAGTCTAGTTTCATGCCTTACTATAGCAACTTAATAAATTTTGGGTTTGATTTACATGGAAGGATGTACCTGTAGTCCATCCCCTTCTTAGGCCACTTGGCCTGAAGCCTAGATGTGTGTTCCCTTCTTAGAAAACACTCAACAAATGCCAGAGTGCCAACAGATATCTGTGGAGCAGACAGTGGTTCTCTGTCACCGAGCATCCACAGCCGCTATAAAGTTGGAAACAGAAAATTGCCCCAAGAGTAGAGGCATAAAAGGCTACCCCTTCACAATTACCCAAGGGACATGTCCCTCTTGGTTTTGTCTTAGCACTGCCCTTCCCACACCAAAGAGTACACCAGCAGAATTAAGGTCCATACCTATCATTGTCACTTTCTCATTATCAAAACATAATACTCAACACCCACCAACAAGGAGAGATTTATTTTGGCTCACAGTTTCAGAAGTTTTAGTCTGTGGTTGGCAGGCTCAAAGGCAGAAATGGCATGATGGATGGGCTTGCTATGGAGGAAAGTTGCTCATATAATGGTGGCCTGGAAGGTAGAAACCAGGGAGGGAAATAGACCTTTTCAGGTCAAACCCCCAGTGACCCACCTCTTCTGGCAAGGCCCCACTGCCTAACAGCACATTTAACTATGGATTCATCAGTGGATTGTTCCACTGATGGACATAGTGTCCCTATGGTCCAATCGCTTTCCCAAAGCCTCACTCTGAACACATGAGTCTTGTGGAGGACATTCCAGATCCAAATCACAATGACACCAATCTGTGTTGGTTGATCTTTGCATTAGTTACTTTTCTGGTTGCTGAGACAAAATACCCAAAGTTAAAGGGAGAAAGTTTATTTGGCTTACAGTTCATAGAGATTTCAGTCCATAGTGGGCTGGCTCCGAGGTAGTAGCATGGCAGACAGTCATCGCGGAGGAGAAACAGTTCAGACAGACACAATGTAGCAAAAGCAATTAGGGAACTTTAATGGCATTTTTCTGCCCCTTTTATCTTATCCAGACTACAGGGATTAGGGCATCACCAAACCAATCAATGTACTGTTTCAGTAATCAAATGCCTTAATCCCAGCATCACACACTCTACATTCAGCCACCTAAGACCGCATGAGGCTTTGGGGGGACATCTAGACCTAAACTATAATAATCATATTCTCATAGCACTTGAAATTCTGTACGAATGTGCTTCAGAGTGCTATAAATGTTTCTCCATGTCCATAATACAAACATGGGATATATTAAGGAGTTCAGGGCTTGGATTCTGGGCATTGGGACCAATTTCAGCTACTTTGCTTTTAATTTCTGATTCTTTGTACTCTTCTAGTGTGTGTTTCCAATGGAAAGACCTATTCCCATGGAGAATCCTGGCACCCAAACCTCAGGGCATTTGGCATTGTGGAGTGTGTGCTGTGCACTTGTAATGTCACCAAGCAAGAGTGTAAGAAAATCCACTGCCCCAATCGATACCCCTGCAAGTATCCTCAAAAAATAGATGGAAAGTGCTGCAAGGTGTGTCCAGGTAAAAAAGCAAAAGGTGCGTTGGTTGGAGGCACTGCCTTTGGTTGACTGAGATCCACAAGTGGTCCTTCTCAACTTTGAGCATTAAGAAATATAATCAACCTGTCATCTAACTCCAGTGGTAGCAGTTCTAGTAAGAATGAATTTCATTCATTTCCTGTCTTGAGGGACTGATAGATGGTTGCTTGGAAAGATTTACTGTTGAGAAATATACTGGGAATTTCTTTCTATCACATCTCCCATGTAGCTTTCAATGCTGACCTAATCCTTACTTCAGTAGAGAGTTTGGATTGTCACAATTATTAGAAAAACAACAATAACATAAAGAAAAACAGTAGCACTTTTCATTTTATCACTTTATCTCACCAAAGCACAGTCACATTCATTAGACAAGGTGAGAGACAGGTGAGATACACTGGAAGACAGACAGGTTCTGGTCCATATCTAAGTGGGGGCATAAACTTGAAAATGTGTCATATCCACTTTAGGTCTTGTTTGTCTTATGTGAAGAGATTAGAATAATTGGTTTCTAAGCAATCCTTTTCTTGTTGCATATTCTCTATTTTTGAGGCATCATATTTGAATATATTCACTTATAGAATGCATAATGTATAATGATCACATCATTTCCATTTCCTTGAACATTAATTTTTGTGTTGGAAACTTTTGGACTTTTATAGTTATTTTAAATAAATCATAATTTATTAAAGATTATAGTTGCCATACTGTCTTATAGAACACTAGAACCAATAATTCCTAACTGTATTTTGGTATCTGCTATTAAACCTTTCTCTATCTCCTCTCCCCCCACCTTCCAACTCCAAAAGCATATAATTATCTTGCTCTGTATCTTTCAAAGATAAGAAAACAAGGTGTATAAAGTGACTTTTCAAGAGTGATGAAACTTCCATTTTTTCATTTTCTCATATTTTTTTCTTTTTGCAAGCTGTGCCTGATCCTATTGGGCTGCTGAATGTATCAGTTGGGATAAAGGGTTGTGATTGATTTAAAGAGTTGTTTTCTCTGATATTATGAAAATGAGGATGTCTATGAGTCATTAGAAACTCAAAAGCTAAAATGCAACTATATTAGGAAGATTTAAGTAATACCCAGAAATTAAAGAAGGACAACTCAACAATAAAAATAAAAATGAGAAAACACTTAAGCAAGACACAAAAACAGATTTCCAGTTCACCAATGGCAAATAGTAGGACAAATGAGGATAAAAAGTCTGATAGTGAACCAGCAGGACTCCCTGGACCCATAGCACAGGAGGTAACAAAACAAATCAATCAGGTTCTAGAAAAATTCAAATCAGAAATAATTTTCCAGTTAACCAGAGAGATGATGAGCAAAATGGAAGTCATGATTCGAGACTCTAGAGCAGAAACTGACAAAAAAATAGATGAGCTCAAGACTATGATAGAAGCCATGAAGACTCAGCATAAGAAAGAAATGGAAACAATGAATGCCCAACAGAGGAAAGAAATGGAATCCATAAAACAGATTCAAACAGATATCCAGGAGATTAAAAACTCTATTGAAAGTGTATGCAACAGAATAAAAGATTGCAAAGATAGAATTTCAGATATAGAAGATAGATTTGCAGTCAGTGACCGTGAAAAAAGAAGTCTCTTAAAAACAGTAAGGGATCATGAGAAATCAATCCAACAACTCCTAGACAATACAAAGAAAAATAACATAAGACTGATAGGAATTCATGAAAAAACAGGAGAAAACGCAAATGACATAAAAAAGCTATTCACAGAATTAATGACAGAAAACTTCCCAAACAGAAGGAAAGAATTAGACATACAGATAAGTGAGGCATATAGAACTCCTTATTTCCTAATTGATAATAAAAGCAAGGTATAGAACTCAGGTCACTTCCATCCCATTGTCTTTCCAGTAGAAAATGTTCACTATTTTTTTAAATGGTAAACTATTTAAGTGGTGGTTTTTAAGATTGAGCTACATTAAAAAGACACTCTGTAATAATGGAAATGACAAATAATGGTATGAGTAATCAAATAGTCTAATCCTGACTTGCCACTGATTTCCTGCCTGATCCAGATGAAGTAACCTTACCTCTCTGAGGCCAAATTTCCTTTGTAATATATGAGTGTTAGAGCAGATGGTCACCTAGACCCCTTCCAGTTCCAGTGTTCTATAATAAGTAACTCCCAGGCCTATGATTTTATCATTTTGTGCTTTCTGCAAGAAAAAAAAAATTTATAAAGACAAATGAAATCCTGAACATTTTAAATGTGGCCAGAGAGCTAAATCATTTATTGCTTTAATTTAGTTAATTCCTCATGATTAGAAAACAAATATACATTTACAGAACATTTTCATGTGGACCAGTGGTTCCCTAACTTTTCTTCAGAGAGCTTCTAAAAACACCTGCGTCTCATCCCCAGAGATTATGATGGTTAATTTATTTGAAATGTGGCCTGGGTTTTGGAATTTTTAAGATTCCCAGGCTATATTAATGTTTAGAAAAGTTTGAGAATCACTGCTATAGGTCCACAATCATTTACGGTCATGCCACTCAAATTGAAGCTCTTGGGTCAGCAGCCTGGGGAGCTAGTTACAAATGCTAACTCTTAGAGTCCCATTCTAGATCTACTGCACTAGAATCTGCATTTTTTTTTTTTTGTACCAGAGATAGACTCAGGACCTGCGCTTGCGAGGCAGGCAGCGGCACCATTGAGCTAAATCCCTGGCCCAAGAATCTGCATTTTTTAAAAATTCTAATGTATAGGGATGCATTCTAATGTATAGTACATGCATTAAAGTATAGGGATGCATTCTAATGTATAATACATGCATTAAAGCTTGAGAAGCACTGATTGAGGCACAAACCAAATCTTCCATAATATAATGAGCCCCATCTTCTAGAGTAAATGAGGCAGGGCATGGACAGGAAGGACAAGATCTAGCTGATATGGAGTAGAAGTGAAGCATTAAAATTCACATGCAAATGCGTTTATTAGGGGTAGGGAACAAGTGAATTACAAGAATGATATTGGTAATAGGACCACCCAACCATCAATGATGACCTGTTGTGACTTCTAACTTTGTGATCTCACTGCATCCCCAAATCCTTTAATATCACTTAATAGCAGTTTTACCCACACAATTTTCTCTTCTGTCAACCATCTAACATTTATAGTTTAAAAACAGATAATTGCAAACAAAAATGAATGGTTACCAAAACCATCCAAGATAAGATAAATTTGCTCACTATATAATATTACAATGTGAATCTCAGTCCCTTAGACCAGATCACATTTCACTGGATACTTACGATCTTACTGATGCAGAGGATTCAAATAAAATGTTATGAAAATAGGACAATAACATACATGACCTATAATTTCTTTCTTAAATTGGTAATGTTTATTAAAAACCTTTGTTTAAGCAATTTTACTCCCTGATATCCTAATAAAATAATCAAAGACATACACAAAGATTTTCACGCAAAGATTTTTGCTGCAGTATTGTTTATAGTAGTGAAAAAAATTGTAAAAGCAAAACTAGTTTGGCTAAAATAATTTTTAAGTCCACCAATATGAGAATGTTTAAATTATCACATATAGTTGTACTGTGGAGTACCATATAGCCATTAATAATACTTGTAGACTAAGATTTGGTGACATGGAAAGACATTTGCAATATATTAAGTATGAAAATCAAGCTGAAAACCATGTATACTGTGATCACATTTTTTTGTGTTAAAAGGAAAGTATATATAGGTATACGTGCATAAAGCCTATATGTGCATATAAACATTTATATGAATGCTTAGATTTTTAAAGAAAAAGACTGAAAGAGAATATAGCAGAATGTTTATTGTGATTATCTTTGGATAACTGAACTCTGAATAATTCTTATTTTCTTCTCTTTTATTTGTATTTCCTAAATTTCATTAGTAAACATGTATCACTTTCACAATTAGACAAAATGATGTTATTGTTTTAAAAATTATCATCCAGAACCCCAATTGGCAATATATAAAAAATCTGATACCTACACCAGTTTCTCTAGAAGATCTGTTTTTTCCTACTTCCCACCTTCCTGAAATGTGTGAAAGTAGAAAATTTTGGGGTTGGGCCGGGGATTTAGCTCAGTGGTTCGGTGGCCTGCCTTGCAAGCGCAAGTACCCAAGTTCAATCCCGGTAACAAAAAAAACCAAAAAAACAAAAAAAAGAAAAGAAAAGAAAACTTTTGGGGTAACATAAAAGGTGAGAATTTCTATACCGCTTTGTGTATCATCAGTCATTAATACTTCCCTCAGGAATGCTTTCTCAGCTTCCTAATTCTGGAGGGCTCAGGAAAGAATATTCTCATGGGAGGTAGGAATAGCCAGAAGTGACTTCAAGTGTGGCATGCTTCCCTGGAAGAGAGTGGGAATACGTAAGCACGAAAAGACCAGAAAGCACCTTGAGGTAGTGTGGAGAGTGTAAGATGTTTCTGAATAAGCCCTTCTAAAGACAAACTTGGCTTCTCTTGTTATTTTCAAGTATCATCCAGGGTTGAATCACAAATTCATTTTGTTGTTTGTAGATCCCTTGGAGCGAAAGAGGTGGAGGTGCGGGATGACTCTTTTAAGATACTGGGCGCATATTATAGGTACTTGCAGTGCTATCATGGATTTCATGTGGCAGCTGTAGCCATATCCAATATTAAGCTGCTGAGCAAATTTTAACAAATGAACTCAACTTGCATTCTAAAGGTGATAATAGAATATACAGAAGTTGCTGTACACTCTATAACCTCTTCCACCCATTTGAAAAGTGCTAGCACACATCCCTTAATTACCTAACATTACCAAAAAGACTGGACTGCCAAAGTAATTAAATAGCTGAAAAGAAAGACAAAGAGAGAATGGAAGTTTGGTCCCAAAATAATCCACAAATTGAGTAATCCAACCTGGAGTTGTCAAGAGAAGACGATGCTTTTGTCCTTATAGTGCCTAATAGTGGTGGGGGCAGAAAAGCTGATCAAGTCAGCAAGATACACATATCTGACTGGCTGACAGTGAGTCTCCTCAATTAATCATCCATCCAAAGCACTGAACACTTAGTGTTTTCATCCTTAACAATTCATATATTCTTATAGATGGCTTCTAAACATACTTAATTTTCAGGGTGTCTAAAGTTTCTCTTTGATGATTTAAGTGCACACTTCAAATATGCAGCTGAAGAGAGTGCTGATTATAAGCTAGAAAGGAAGTTTAACTCACTGATAACCTATCAAGAAAAACTTTTTTTGATAGGGGGCTGAGGAAATGGAAGGTAGAATGGGGAATATTAAGGGATTGGTACCTTTATGCCTGGGACCTGAAATTTGGCAGTTTAGTTTAATTATTAAATGATCCATAGTTGAGGGACTTGACCATTTTTTTTTGTCTCCCAACCATTCATTTGGCATAGCGTACAGATGACTAATCTGACATCTAGGTTTTGGCACTGGTGCCGATCTGGTATTAGCATTCCCCTTACAAACAAATCAAAGAGCATTTAGAAATGTCAAGTCAATTTGGATAGACCCATTGGCAAGTATATGCACATAAATGAGTGTCATGAATGTTTCTAAGTATATCTAAAGGACGTCAGGGAAGTTAACCAAGGCCCTATGTCAGCCCATTTCCTGGGCCTTTTTTGTCAACACTGGACTGGGAAGAGCACCATCTCGACCCAGTAGAGAAAATCTATATTCTTTTAAGGGCTTCAGAGATTTGCCTACCTTCTTCCTCCTCATTTAAGTTCACTCATGAGTGATGGCAGTAAGGAGATACAGTTTAGTTTCTGGGCCAGTATTTTGTACAACTGTGGATTCGATCGTCAGATGGACTTCAAAATTTGTATGCTTCTTTGTGCTTTGGTGGCTGTTCACTGAGGCAGCCTATCTTGAGTCAATAAAGATGGAACCTCTGTCTTTGTAAGACTGTTCTGGTTGGCTGCCCAGTTTCTGTAAGTAAGGGTAAATTTGTATAAATAATGATATAGTAAAATGTAGAAGTTCACATCTAGCTTTAGAAAACAGTGACAATTTCCTACTTACTTCTTTATTTCAGAAGAACTTCCAGGCCAAATCTTTGACAGCAAAGGCTACTTTTGTGGAGAAGAAACAATGCCCGTATATGAATCTGTATTCATGGAGGATGGGGAGACTACCAGAAAAATAGCACTGGAGACTGAAAGACCACCCCAGGTAGAAGTCCACGTCTGGACCATTCGAAAAGGTAAACAACACAACCTTAATTTATCTTTGTAAAGGTGGGGCAGAGAAGGAAGGGAAGACTCTTCTGTACTCGGTTTCACCATATTTCTGTATTTGGGTTAGAAGTTTTCTTGTTGCTTAAAAACTGACCTGTCTAAACACAGCTTTTATTATGTCCCTTCAATTTTAACTATGGAATGTGCTGAAGATTAAGTATTAACCCTTGCAGTTCCCATGGTTGTTTGTCTCATACAACCAAAAGATAAAGAGTAGTTCTTAATGTGAGGTGATAAAGGAGTAAATAGAATAGTTCTTGACATGATGCTGTACATCAGAATAATCTGGACAAGTTTTTGTTTTTCTTTCTTTCTTTCTTTCTTTCTTTCTTTCTTTCTTTCATTTTTGTTTTTTGAGACAGAGTCTCACTATGTAGTACCAACCTGGAACTCACTATGTAGCCCAGGCTGGTCTCGAACTCAGCAATCCTCCTGCTTCAGTTTCCTGAGTGCTGAGATTACAGGCGTGCGCCATCATGCCCAGCTTTTTCTTTTGTTTTTAGTACCTAATACCTGTACCTACCTCCAGTCTGATTAATTGATCTGGTTAAAGCATGGGCATCAAAGCTCTACAGGAGATTCTGATGTGTGGCCAGAGCTGCAAATTACCAAACTATAGCCTGTCTTTCTGATATGAAGCTCTACAAATAGGATAACCTATTTATTTAATGTGAAGTTAAGTCCCTCAAATCACACTGTGTACTGTGGGGTAAGACAAATTGAAAACATCATCCCTACCTTCAAGAAGATTATAGTCTCACTGGAGAAATAATCCCAGTCATGATGAGCAGCAATTCCTTTTCTGATTACTCACAATGACTGTAAGAAACTGATTTTGTTCACTGTGATCCTATAGCTTTTTACACTGTTCTATAGGCACAAGACTAGTGCTGACATGGTATGGTCAAGTTTTCTAGTAATTTATGGTAGAAGTGAGATTTTAATTGGAAAATAATACTCATTTTTTTGTTACCAGCTCCTACATAAGCCTTTACAGTATTCAAGCTTTAGTGGAATTCAGTATGATGCACAGAGCTATTTTTAAATGTAGCTACCTGTCTCTATCCCAGAGATACAAATTCAGCAGGACTTAGATAGTGTCTGAATATTTCCATGCTTAAAACATGGCCTGGTAATTCTTAATACAGGTGGCTCAGACCATACTTTCTGAAATACTGTTCTAGTATGTGTGGATTTTTTTCTCTCCCTTTTCACAGTATCTACTTTTCTCTAAAGAATGTGTCCTTCCCCATGTCTTAGACTATATGCTATACTGTACATGCGATTTTTTTTATTTTTTTTTTATTGAGTTTATTGGTACATTTAGGGATACAGTACATTTACATTCATTGTTGGGATCATGTACCTTTACATGGCAAGTCTTGATTCTCATTTTTTTCCCCTTACCTCTGCCCTCCCTTCACCCCCTCCTCCCCTCCCCATCTACAAACACTTTATTTTCATCTTTTCATTCTCTCACATTTTTTTCTTTTCCCTTTTTGTTCTTCCCCTACGTATCACACCTTCCCTACACCTTTAGCTCCTTTCCTCCCATTTCTAAATGTCAGTAATCTTATTAGAATCTTATGCATTGTTGCAGAATATTCACACCAGGGAAACTATTTGGTATTTACACATGTGGGACTTATTTATTTCACTTAGGAGTATATCTTCAATATGTATCCATTTTCCTATGAATGAATCTATTCTCTCGCTCTTTATGGCTGAGTAATATTCCATTTTATAGAAAAACCACATCTTCTTTATCCAGTTTCCAACGGATGGGCAAATAGGTTGTTTCCAAGATTTAGCTATTACAAACTGTGCCGCTATAAACATGGGTGCACATACTTCTCTGTGATATGATTCTTTTAGTTCTCTTGGAAAGATACCCTTCCCCATGTCTTAGACTATATGCTATACTGTACATGCGATTTTTGTCCATGCTTGTTTTGGCTTGATATTTAGGCATACCAATTTCCAACCTTTAACTCCATAGCACATCTGTAACTGGTGATCTTGGACAAGGCAGTGATCTATCTGTTGGCTTCCTAGCATTGGACCTGGTATTCATTACCCCATATCTCTCACCCCACAGCAGTGTATGGATGGTTTGCAGCTTGCTAGCCTAGCTTGCTAGTGTAGCATCCCAAGGCAGGAATAACAAACAGGCTTGGCAGAGTAGAAACAATGTGGCACACACACAAGGTAACACAGGTAACAAGAGCTAACAGTGTCCCCCTGCCTCTTTTATCTTAGTATATGTGCTGCCAAAGCAAGCATGCCCCTTTTATCTTATCCAGACTACTTAGGACGGGTAGCACTCACACCCTTAATCCTAGTGCCCTTGAGCCTAGCATTGCACCGTGAATCAATTCCAGCTTCACACACTCTAGATCAAGCCTATGACCACATGAGGCTTTGCGAAGGGCATCTAGACCCAAACCGTAACAGCCAGGTTATCAAGATCTGTGCTTCATAGGCATATTAAATCACATGCTTCATCTCCTTTGCCTCCTATAGACCTCTTTCAGATTGTTTAAATTGGATTGTGACATTTTCCTACTTAACTACAAGGCAGTTTTCGGTTTTTTGTCTGTTATTCTGACTAAAGCTATTTGGGCAAGGTTCAGACTGTACGGGCTACTCTACTTTACCTCTCCCTATTATTTTTAAAAGGGAAGGCTAATGGAGCTGTGAATATTTCCCGCAGGAAAATAGGCACTTTAGTAAGTGCAGGCACAAGGGTAGCTTCTTCATTTACACAAATGACCTGTCTGTGATCCTACTGCTGGCTCTCATTATTTTGCTAGGAGGGCATCCTACTAGTTTGGCAAGAACATAGTCTACCCATATTTGAAGCAAAGGCAGACTTTGTAATACTGCCTTTGGCTGAAGAAGCTCTGACCAGCATCCATGCTTGAATCCATGTGGCTTTCCCTAGGATGGGGTCCCACACTCAGCAGCACTGTCCTCCTTATCTTCATTACCTAGACAAGCCAAGGATACAAATGGAGACAATTAAAACCTTCGAACCAACCACATTCTTGGTTAAGCATGTCACACAGCCCAGCTCAATACACTGAGGCCCCAATAATGAAACAATATGTTCAGCCCAGGGAGCAAAAGGCATCTATAGTTCCAGAAAGAGAGAATGCCTGACCACCTGCCCCACTTTTTGCTTGTCCCCAGGCATCCTCCAGCACTTCCACATTGAAAAGATCTCAAAAAGAATGTTTGAGGAACTCCACCACTTCAAGCTGGTAACCAGGACAACCCTGAGTAAGTGGTACCTTTCTTTACTCCTCACTGGAAACATATGTTCTTAGTTCTATGTTCTTAGTAAATGTTGGAAGCACTCAATATCAACATTAGAGAATATTCTCTTTTTCCTCTGGGGGGCTTAGCAACAAATAGGATGTCTGAATGTGAACTGAAAATCTTGGGCATGAGTAATACAGACCCTGATGTAGGGTAAGCATAAACTACATCAGGTCCTGGGTTCCTGAATGCCTTTAATGAAACTGCTAAGCCTGGAGTCTCAAGAGGGTTGCAAAAGGCTTTACATAAAATTTCAGGCCCGGTTTAGTAGTGGAGAATTCACATCTAGAAGGCTGTGTTCTCTGGTGGTAAGGATAGGAGATAAACAGTATACATAATCAATTCCTGTGTTATTTTTAAGTCTTTTGACCCTGTGAAATTGTCCCTGAGTGGTCATGTTTCTTTAAAAGCCCTCAGGCATTCAAGCATACTCCCACTTTCTACACTAGATGGAGCCTGGGGACTAGATACTGCTAGGCACTGGGAGTGGAAGAGAGCATGTCTAATGGAATAAAAGGCACACAGTTTGTATACACAGGGAATTCTAAGAGGCAAGATAGAACATGAAAACGCCTTGACTATGAATTAGTATACTTTTGGGGAGTTAAATACCTTACGTGCTCAGGGGAATCTGCAAAGAACAATGAGATGAGAGCCAGGTGGGCTTAGTCAGGGAAGGCTTCGGGGAGGAGGTGTGTTTTGTAAAAGAAGGGTATGACTGGGCAGTGGATCAAGAAATCAGTCCTGGAAGAAGGTTCAGCCCAAGTGAAGATTCAGACAGGAGCAAACAAAAAAATGTAGGTGGGGATGAGGAATGATCACAAAAATCACAATAAGGTGCATTTAAAGAGGAGAAGAGTTGGTAGGAAGTAGTTAGAGGGCCCAGAAGAAGCTAGTGAAAAGTTCACATATAAAGCAAGTACACTGGGAGTTGCTGCAAAATTACAAACATCCTAGTACAATCAAAAGAGTGCTTTAGGAAGACATCTCTGGGCTTTCAGATAGATTTGTTAAGCACCTATTTTGATGAAGCCAGATTTAAAGAGCCCAGTTTGCTATGGGAAGACGTTGGATGTCATCTCATCAGAGAACACAGGCTGAAGTTTTTTTTAAAAACAAATTAATGGTACATTTTAGAAAGAAATCCTTGCTGTGTGGAGAGGTGGACTGTTGGTGAGAGAGCTGACAATAGTCTGAATTAGGAGACTATTATACTATATTAAGTCAGTAAGATGGAGAGGACAGATCACTGAGAGACATTTCTCGGATTAAATCAACAAAATTAGTGTCAGAGAGAGAAAGGAGTTTGGGATGACTTCAATATTAATAGCTTTATAGAGTGAATAATATTGCCATTTACCAATGAGAAATGCTTAAGAAGTATTGGTGAAGAAAGAGTTTCACTTGAATATTCGAATTAAGATACTTAAAGGCCATCTAAGAAGAATTATCCAATAGTCAACTGTAAATAGAGTTGATGAGGTCAACTGTTTTTCCTGCAGCACCAATAGAAGATAAAATGAACAGTGCGAGTATTCAAATGAAAGTGTTGGAAGTAAGGAATAAAAGAGCCAAAGTCTAGGATCCCAGGATCAAAGATGTGTCTTCTAAAATTACCATTTAATTTCAAAAAACTTATTTTAGTTCATACTGTCAGCAAAGTACTGCTGTGATCTAGAAGACTTAAGAGATGATTTAGACATACTCTGTGCCCATTAGCATTTAGGATTTAGTGTGTGCAATGGATGCAGATGGTGTGTGCCTCTGTGTGCATCTGGAGGAAGAAAGATCTGAGAGATCTGCGGGCATGAAAAACAAGCCCAACTCCTTTATGTAATGTGCCTAGAAGAGCCTGGTACATCACAGGGCTTCAGTGAAAGCTAGTCCCTTGATCAGCCCTTCTTTTCCTTTTTCCTTCTGTCTTCCCATTGCATGAGAAAGAATAGGAAAGAGTGAGGAATCCAAGGGAGAAAGCAGCAGAGATCAAGTCTCAAGGGGAGGGAATCATGTTCTCCTGTGGCCAGGGAAAGCAAAGTGGTTTAAAACACTTTTAAGGAATTTACTGAACTTGGACCAGGAGTTCTCCAGTTGTCTTTGAAATCCTCTGGTGGTTCCATGAGTAAGGTAGGTGGGGCAGGATGGGGGGTGTTCTGTTGACTCTGATGTCCTCTTACACTTTCCTGCCCTTTTGTGTTTGGCTTTTAGGCCAGTGGAAGATATTCACTGAAGGAGAAGCTCAGATCAGCCAGATGTGTTCAAGTCGTGTGTGCAGAACAGAGCTTGAAGATTTGGTCAAAGTTTTGTACCTGGAGAGATCTGAAAAAGGCCACTGTTAGGCAAGTCAGACAGTATTAAATAAGGTCAAGCAAGAAAACTTGAGCTGCAGCTGGACTGCCGGTTTATTTTGCTTAAATCAGTAGTACCTTACAACCCCAAACTCAAATGCAGTCAGTTATTCACGTCATGCATAGCGTAACTTGCTCCTTTATGTGGAGTGGTGTGTCAGCCCTGAACCATCTCCTCTAAAGAGACTACGAGAGTCATAAATGATTTGTGGGAGGAAGAGGGATAAAACACCACAATGCGTCTCTAGTTTCTTGGAGAATCACATTTCTGTACATGTTAAAGAGCAAACAAAACTCCCGGGGTTTCTATGAAGAAAGTTATTCAAATGAAAGAAAGAGAAGGCAATTGCTTAGTAGCTGTTCTGGAGAATAGAGCAATTATTTGATTGAAATGATATTCTTTGAATGTTAGAATGCCTTTTGTCCTTTACAAGAAAATTAACTGCCCATCCTTAAGCACGTGTGCATGTAAGCACATGCACATACACAGACACACACACACACACACACACAAGAAACTGTAGCCTCTGCCCTGAGGCAAAGCCAGCCTAGACTCTTCCCTTCTCTGCCTAAAAAGCCTTGGAGGTTGTTGGTGCCCAGGAGAATAAATAAAAACTTTTAAGCAAAAGGCTCTGTTCTTAGGCCTTTGAGGTGGCTGTTGAATTCAGCAACTAGAGTGGCAGTGTGAAGAATAAAAGCACCATTTCTGGCCTCATTCACTTTAAAGTGGTGAATAACTTTTCCCTGATGATACCCTTTCTTTTTTTTTCCTGAACCTATGAAGCCTCCAAAAAGAACTTAGAATTGGGTAGTATTATCAGAAACTGAATCAATACAAAGTGATTATTGAAGAAAGGGATTGATAAAAGTCAAAGAGGCCGTCTTATTGTTTTCACGGCAACAAAATCCACCAATTAGTAGATTAATATTCACTAAATTTCTTGAGGTCATACTTGTCTAGCCAGAAAATTTAGGCTGAATTAATAAATTCTAGAAGCCCCTTAAAAGGGCAGTTTTCATTCTTCAAAAGTTGATTTTTTTTTTTTTTACTGTACAGAAAGGCTCAATCTTCACAAGTTTCTGAATGTTGGCTTTTCAGTTAAGAGAGTTGCTGTTTATTTAAGGAGCTGAAAATTCTGATAAAGATCTTTATCCTAAACCTTCCCCTCGTTTTTTGCTTTATCCAGCAAGCATGGATTTGAATCAGGGATTCTAGAAAACACTGTTCATGAAATGTCTATTTGCAGTACAATACTAGAGTATAAATTATCAGTTTTGAGGTCTGCCTTATACATTGTCTTTGTGGGAAAACTAAATTTTCCTCAAAGGGATCTTAAGCATGCCTCTGAATTTGTCCACTCTGCCGGTCATGAATGAACTCTAGTATGTACTAAGAAGCATTGAAGACTCAGATAGTGCATATTTCCCACTCTGTGATGATAGGTGAGAGAACATGTTTTTCCTTAATGTATTTGACACTGATGGGGGAAATGTCAACAGCCATCTGCCATAGAAGAGTCTGTTTCCATAAAAGAGACACGAGGGCCTCCTAGCCAGGAATTCATGGGACAATTCTTGCACCAGTGCACCACACACATTTTACTCGAGGAGGAAGGACGTCCTGGGCTGAAAAGCCACAGAGCCTTGTTATAGAAAGTGAGGGTCATAGTGAGTAAGCAGCTGCTGTCTCCCTTTCAGAAGTGGCAGTCATTTCCATAGTAACGGGATCCTGAAGAAAAGTGGGTGATTCCACTTCTAGATGTTTCACCCCATAGCCTTCCCACTCAGGTGTTCTCTGAATGCTCAGCCTTAGGGGAACACCCAAAAGATTCTCTAGATAGATGCCTGATTTCTGGTGCTGAGACACACCTTTCCAAAGTATTGGGGGGAGCTGTGTCAGTGAACGTAGAAACCCTCCAGTGTTTGTTGTTTCATAGAGAGTAGGTCTTAGGAACGAGGCCAAGCCACCCATAGTTAGTAGAGAAGAATGTGGTTCTTCTTGTGTATTTATTTGTATCATAAATACTTGGAACAACAAAGACCATAAGCACCATTTCACAATAATAGCCATTTTCTAGTTAACTGATATAAACAAGTAAGAGTAAAGTAACATTATTACCTTTTCACTCTTCTCATAGGACATGTACCTAAACATGGTACTTATTTATGTAGTCACTGTATTTCTGGATTTTAAATTAATAAAAGTTTTACTTTTGAAAAGTCATTTGCAAGCAAGCTGAACATGTGATTGACTATTATTACTGACTTTGAACTAGATAGCAGGCGATGGTCTGGCACTTTCACACAGCTTGACACCTTTCTTGTGCTATAGTAGCTATAGTACAGTAGTTACAGTGTTAATCTGAGTCAAACTACAGGGATTTCTTTAAAAATTTCTGTTAGTACATGTTTTCAGTACATGATTACATTTGTCATGGGGAGTTGGCACATATACATAACACATCTTACATCTATTTTCATCACCTTCTCCTCCTATCCTTAACCACTCCTTTCATATCTTGATAACTTTCCCTTTTACAAAAGATCTATCTCACTGTTTCCCATTATCTGTCTTTTATTTTCTTCTTTATTTTATGTACATTTTGTGTTACTTGTATAGAGAAACCATGTTATATTTATTTTCTTCTTTATTTTATGTACATTTTGTGTTACTTCTATAGAGAAACCATGTTATATTTAAGATTGCGCATCTGACTTAATTCACTTAACTTTATGTTCTCAAAGCACATCCATTTTCCTACAAGTGACTCAACTTTATCCTTCTTTATGGCAGAGTAGTACCCCATTGTGCCTAGTGCCACATTTTCTTTATCTATTCATCTTCTGATGGACTTAAAGGCTGCTTCCAACTTTTAGCTATCATGAGTTGTGCTTGTATAAACATGGGTATGCATGTATCCTGGATTTCTAAGCCAGCTCTGCGCTTAGCAGCTGTGTTTATCAGCCTTATAAAATGGGATAATATTGGTACTCATACCCTCTGGCTGCAGTCTTACAATGAGTTTTAATTTAGTTAATGCATATAAAGTGATTAGAATGTTGTCTAGTACATATTAAGCGTTCATTAATGTTCATGGATATTCAAGACTGACATGGCATTGAAATTGAGCATTGGATTCTTACCTCCCTTTAGGCCACTGATTCAGGCTTAAAGGGAATCTACTATTCACAATGTTTTTAAATAAAAACAATTTACAGGGAGCAGGGTAAGACTTTTGTCACACATTTTGATCCAAACTAAATTCCCTCCATCCTCTGAGTGTTTGTTATCACAGAAGGCAAAATGTAAGAACTGCTTCAAGACTCATGTGTCAAGACTGCTGAGATATCACATAATCTTAGGACAGAAAAGCACGCATTGGGGTTGGCCACATGGAAGAGAAATACTGTTGGAATGACTGAACAGAAGCTTATTAGAGTGAGTTGTAAGAAAGTGAGTGGGGAGATGGGGAATTGGAGATTGCCATGATCCCAAGACAACTCTGGAGAAGCTGCACTACAGGAGGTAGTGAGTCACAGTGAAGGAAGTATCTGGAAAAGAAATAAGATCAAAGGAAGGAATTTTGTTTTAAATATGAGAACTACTTAACCTGGGTGACAGATACTATAGAAAGGAAAAGATTGAAGATTGTGGGAAGTGTGGGCAAGTTGATCTGTTGTGTGAGGTGGGTGAGATGTCATCTCCCATCATGCTACATCCCAGGACTCACAGTTTAATTTTTTTTCAGGACTCACAGTTTTGACACATAATCTGGAAGGGATTTGGAACTTTAGTAGATGTCAACCCCTTATGTTAAGCTGCACATCATCCTGCTAATTTCTGTTAGCTTGGTCTTCCTTTATCTCCTGCTTACTTCCTTCTGGAATGATGGGCTATAGATCCCAATATTGTTCCTACACTGAAGGAACTGCAAATTACTAAAACTAAACATCTTGGCTCCATTTTTTACTCTTTCTGTTCCCTAATGAGCCACATCTAGATTTCACCCAGTCCTGTCAGTTTGATCTCCTCAATGTAGGCGATGCTTATAGGTTTTTGCTCTTAATTCCTCTAGTCAAATTTTCTCCCATATAGTCTGTACCCACTTGCCCACACCATCATTCTCATGAAGCACAAAAGTTCATCTCTTTTGGGTTCAAAGGGAAATCCTGCTTACTCCTACATGTTTTCCACCTTTTTATTCCTTGCTTGCTTTGATTCTTGAAGGGGTTCAGAATATACAACTTTAAAATGTGTCTTTTGGTATAAGGGTTATTTTGAGTGACCTAACGGCAATCAAGACTCAGTAGTTGCAGGAAGAGTTCCCTGCACTACTCTCACCTGCCTAACAGCAGGGCAAAAATTTCTATTTGGGTAACATGGCCCCTCCCTTTTACCAAGGAGAAAAGAGAGACTTATCACTGAATATAAGAATTCAACAGCAAGATGAGTTTGTATACATACAACTAAAATATCCTCTGTGGTCCATTACTTGCCTTCATATGAATTATGTTTCCTGTTCACTTCCCCACAGTTCATCATGACCTGAAGCCCAAACACTCTGTTAGAAGCGTGTACACTGTGAACCCATAAAACTATGTGCCTTTTCTTCTGCTAATCTGTCATTTTGTTTTTGTTTTGGTTTTTGGTTTTTTTTTTTTGTTGTTGTTGTTCTTGTTTTGGTAGCGAGGATTGAACTCGGGTCCTTGCGCTTGCAAGGCAGGCCACCGAACAGCTGAGCTAAATCCCCGGCCCCATTTTGTTATTTTAATTAATGGCCCCACAGTCACTAAACCTAAAAAAGTAATTTTTCCTCCCCAACACTTACCTACAAGACAGACTGATAGAAAAAAAAATCTCCCATCTCTACATACCTCCTGCCAGTCCCCACTGCCAGCTGTGCGGTTGATGAGGCCCCTCTTTCCTGGCCCACAAGTACCACCACAGTGATGGCACTCAGAATCCTCTGATCCTTCTGTTCCCCAGTGGCACTGTGTCTTGTGCACAAAGTGAGACAATGTTCCCCTCCCTCCCTATCTGTGAAGTTACTTTGTCACCTTACATTAAAGCAGCCTCAACAAATTTGTTTTTTTGGGGTTTTTTTGTTTTTGTTTTTGTTTTACTTTTTGTCTTTGCAGTACTGGGGACTGAACCCAGGACCTTCACACTGCCCTACAGCCTCAGATTTTTTTTGAGAAAGGGCCTTGCCTAGTCATGAAGTTTTCCAAGCTGGGCACAAACTTGATCCTCCTGCTACAGCCCCCCAGACATGCACCACCATGCCCCGCTAAGAAATAATTCTTGAAAGTGTATTACACACAGCAATGGAGGTTCTTCTTATGCCTTAGTATCTCATAAGTGCTTCATGGAATTAAGCCCATCAGGTTCTACTTTCAGCCGCCTCCCCCATCTTTCTCAGGGCTCAATTGTCAGTGTGTACTCAATTGTCTGCTGAGTACAAGCCTCCAAGATGCACATACGACTGTCCCGCGAGTCCCTTTCCCCTTTGGGGCATATGAATTACTGCCATTTTCCACTGAAATTTCGTTCAAATTGACTTCAAGGATCCTGCCCCATCAAATCATGAAATGCATTTGAAACCTCCAAGTGGAAGAACAGGAACCTGGAATTCAGGAATCCAGCTACAGCATGTAGTCCCCTGAATATTTCATACAGACATATAATTTTGTGCCTTTTTATACGTTCTTGCTACGGCTAGCATGCTCTTCCCAACCAAAGTAGCTGCACTACCCACTGCAGTAGTCGGCCTTCTTGTTTAATCCTTATTAACACTTTTACCTATGAAGACATCGAAATAATTTTGTCTTTCATTTTTTTCCTTTTCTCTTTATTGGTGCATTTTAGGTATACAATACAGTTACATTCATCATTGGGATCTTGCACCTTTACATGATGTATCTTTGTTCTTATATTTTCTCCATTCCCCTACCCTCCATTCCCTCCCTCCACCCTTCCCAATTTACAGAAACTTTGTTTCCATTTTTTTCCTTTTCTCTTATTTTTCTTTTCCCTTCTTACCTTTCCCCAACCCTCCCACTTCCTATATACCTTTAGACACTTTTTCCTATTACACAATATCAATTAGACATTTTGATTCTTATTTACACCTTTAGTTTATCACACCAGAGAAACTATTCAATATCTACACGTGTGTCCTATTAATTTCACTGAAGAGTATGTTCTCAATGTGCATCCACTTAGCTATAAATGTCTCTAATTTCTCATTATTTTTGGCTGAGTAGTACTCCATTTTATTAAAAAAAAAAAAAGCATCTTCTCTATCCAGTCTCCACGTGATGAGCAATTAGGCTGTTTCCAAGTCTTAGCTATTATAAAAGGTATGGCTATAAACATGGGTAAGCATATATCACTGTGGTATATTTCTTTTAATTCTTTTGGGAAGATACCCAGCAGAGGAATAGCTGGGTCAAATAGGACTTCCAATCCTAGTTGTTTGAGGTATCTCCATATTGATTTCCACAGTGATTGCACCAGGCTGCACTCCCATCAACAATCTAGGAGGATTCCTTTCTCCCCACAACCCCACCAACATTTGTTATTGGTTGATTTCTTGATAGCAGCCATTCTTTCTGTGGTGAGGTGGAATCTCAGTGTCATTTTCATCTGCATCTCTCAAAGGACCAGTGGTATTGAATAATTTTTTATATGTTTATTTGTTGCTTTTACTTCTTTGTTTGAAAAATGTTTGTTCAGTTCAGATGCCCATTTTTTATTTGAGTTTCTAAATTTGAGGGGTCTGATTTTTTGAGTTCTTTATATATTCTAGATAATAGTCCTTTGTCTGAGGAACAACTGGTAAAGAATTTTTCCCACAGTATACGTTGTCACTTAGCTCTGTTGGTGGTTTCTCTAGAAGCTTTCTGAAAAGATGAGATCCCAGTAGTTGATGCTTTGTGCTAGTTTTCGTGCTACTGAAGATTTGTTCATAAAGTCTTTTCCTATGAAAATGTCTTCAAGAGGTCTACATAACTTATCTTCCAGCAAGTTTAGTGTTTCTGTTTTAATATTTAGATCTTTAATCAACTTGGATTTTCATTTAGTGCATGGTGAAAGACAGGCATCTAGATTTAATCTTTGGCAAGTTAAAATCCAATTTTTCCACCACCATTAAAGAGGCTATCATTCCCACAGCGAGGATGGTTGGCTCCTTTGCAAAGATGAGGTAGCTGGTTATGTCTAC